TCCATGGGGTCACGAAGAGTCGGACATGACTTAACGACTAAACAACAAACAACAACGTCTGGGGAGACACAGTGGTGAGCTGCCTGTCCCAAACCAATCTTTTTTTTCACATTTATTTTTCCATCCAACTGCAAAGTAACAGTCATGGGCAGTGCAGACCAGGAAGTATTGGGTACGGTACAGTGTGCTATTAAAAAAAACAAAAAGAAAACCAGGTCCGATCAGAGCTTTGTCAACAAGAACATAAGAAGAGCTGTGCTAAACCAGGGTGCCGGCCTTATCTCACTCAGTATTCTGTTCCTCATGGCAAATGAGATGCCTCAGAGAGGCAGGAAAGGAGTCTTGGCTCCTCCCCTTCCTGTTGCCGTCACCGGGCACTGATGAGGCACACCGAATAAATACTGTATTGGAGTTAATCTATAACCACCACAAACTGGCAACTGCTGGTAGGATTACCCTCCACAAATTTATCCCATTCTCTGCTTAACATGATTTAAGCTGGCAACCACCATGACATCTGGTGGCAGTGAGTTCCGCTGTATAAATGCACATTGTGTGCAGGAAAAAAACCTTCCCTTTTCTGACTCTCCCACAATTCAGTGGACTGGATTCTAGTATTATAAGGACTGGAGTTAAAACACCTGCACTTCCTCGGCACCACACAGACTCTGTATTCAGTGGTCTCATTTCCCACTGTTTTACGTCCATTTCATCCAAGCCTGGGTGGGGAAATCCGCGACTCTTCAGTCTTGTTGGACTATAGCTCTCATCATGCCTGAACCCCTGGGAATTTTAGTCCAATGATACCTGCAGACATTCCTGTTCCTAAATTGCAGAGCCACACACTCTCAAACTTTTCCCCCTAGGGAAAGGGGTCCCAGCTCCTTGATCCTTTTAGTTGCATTCTTCTACAATCACTGCCAGATCTAGTGTATTTTGTTTTTTTAAACTGCAGAGTGGTGCATGGTGATCAGAAATGTACACAGTATCCCAAGCATGATCACACACCGATCAAGGTACAGTAGGACCCCCGTATCCATGGGCGTTTGGTTCCAGGTCCTCCCACAGATGCTGAAAAGCATGGATTATAGCAAACACCATAATAGGAAATGCTACACGTAGCATGGTCTATGGCTCCCTCTAGTGCCAGTTCTGGTAAGATCAATGTTAGAAATATGGATTCCCAAGAATTTTTCTTTTAATATTTTCAGACTGTGGACAAGTGAATCAGCGAATACTGATCCTGCAGATACGGGGGTACTACTGTGTATTAAAAAAACCCTATTCAAGCACTCCAAAACCTGTATGAGGCAAATGAGTACCAGCCATATCTGCTCCACTCTGATTTCCAGTTCACCACCATGCATGGACGATGATGACAATCAGAAAGGGTCAGCTTTCTCCATTCATGGAAGCCCTCCCCATATTGGGGTGTACTAGGGGGAAAAATCAGCATTACAGAGTCTGCGTACGTTGAGGTGGTCTGCCTTTGTGGCAAGTTGCCTTCAGCATCTGCTGGGGTGGCTAGAAATTATAGAGACTGGGTAAAGCTGACACCTTTTCCCTCGTGTGCTTTATTTTGGTTTTAGAACAGCTGGATAAGGCAAAAGGCTTCCCCTCCAGGTACCAATAAGAGCAGCACTTTGCAGTGCTTGGAAATGTTACTCCTTGAGAATGGCAGCTCTGGGAAATCCCAACCATGGGTGATCCAGATGTTCTTGGACTACAACTCCCAGAAACCCTGGCCAGCACAGCTAGCGGTGAAGGCTTCTGGTAGTTTGAGTCCGAGAACATCAGAGGTCCCAAGGTTTAGAGCCCCTGATCACATGGCCAGTGACTTGGAGATCCCTGGATGTTGGGAGCTCAAGAAAGCAACATAAACATTTCGTTCAGTAATGCAAAAGGAAATCTTGAGCAATGTGGATCATAGACCCTGTAAAAGTAATAAGGTATCAAATAAAGTATTGAGGTGCGTGCAGGTCAACGAATGCTTGGTGGCTTTGTTTCATTTACGGGCATTAACAAAGTCGGCCTTCCCTTAAGGCAGCCAGGCCGGGCGGCGGGTCATATAGCCTTCCAGGTGTAAGTGGACCACAACTCCCATCGTCCACCCTAACCGACATCAGCTGATGGGAAGGACTTTATTGAGTCCATTTCTACCCTGCCTTTCTCTCCGACAAGTGGGACTCAAAAGGCAGCTTGCAATAAAATAAAACTGGAGAAAACACTAGTGAAATGTAAAATGAATAAAAAGCGTAAGAATTTAAAAACACACCAGTAAGAATAGAAAAAAAAGGAGGAAAAAAATAGCCGCGGGAATTGCCATCCCAAGACGGTCTGGAGGGCCACATGTCCGTTTTTCCAAGTCCTGCTCTACTACTTTGGTCTGATCCTGCAACCTTAAGATGGCTCTTTTTTCTCCTCCTCAGACTGTCTTCTCAGCCAGGGGAGGTTCCTGGGGAACGCAAAGGATCTGAGAAGGCGCAGGCGGAGGACTGTTGGGTACGGACGCCCCTAAGGTCTCCTCGCCGGGAGCGTTCGGAGGCGCCGCCCGCCCCGTGAGCGTGTCCACAATGCGCTCCAACAGAGTCGTTTGTCGTTCCAGAGCGGCCGTGTAGCTCTCCATGCAGCGCTGGAAGGCCACGTCCGAGTCGCGCATGGCGGAGGCCATGGTTTGGCTGGAGTCCCTGATGCTTTTCGCGATGTGCCTGGCGCACCAGACGGCCACCCGGCGGTCGTCCACCCGGCGCTGAGATTCCTTGCTGTCCAGCTCATAAAGGGCGTCGCGGATTTGCTCCCCGGTCTCCTTGGTGGCTTTAATGAGGTCCTTCGCCAGCTGCGCGCGCTCTATTTTCCTCTTGTTTCTGAACCTGGCCGCCCTCTGCGCGCTGGTCAACGGCGCGTCTCCCTCCAGGTCTCCGGGGGGCAGAACGTGGCTCAGCGGTGGCTCGTCCACCCCACCAAGGCCCCCATCGGCACCTGAGTTAGGATCCTTACAGCCCACAATGTCCAGGAGGATCGAGGCGGCGTCTGCGTTTTCAAGGGCTTTGCGCTCCTGCTCCTGTATGAGACTTTCAGCTAAAAAGGAGCAGAAAAGCACAACAGTGGGTAAGCCGTTCCCCTATAAATCAGGAGGAAGTTCTGGCCTATGGGGTCCCCATCCACAGCTCATAAGCTTTCCACCAAGACCTCCAACCCCCTGACGAAGAGGCAGATGGCAACCCGTTTCTTTCAAAGGAGCCTTATTTTTTGAGGGTGATCATTTGAACCGCCAAGAACCTTTGGAGGCGTAAGATGCACCCCCAGAGCAGAAATTTCAGGAGAGGATCAGGGCGCATTATATGAGGGAACTCACGAGTTCCTCATGAATTCAATCACTCCTTTCATTTCTGTGCCTCCTTTCTTCCAGGGAGGGCATCCACAGTGACTCACGAATTACAAAAAAAACAAGCTAAATTAAAAAGAAAAGGACCAAAAGCTAATCACAATTAGGGTACACCCATTGAATCAGTGGGGATTTGATGAGTAAACCCCTGTGTCATCTGCACAGATTCAATGGGCCTCCTCTAATGGCAACTTAGTACTAGATTTCAGCTAATATATTTAGTGGTTGCATTTAAAAATGCAGTAATGTTTTAAAAATTAGTTTTAAAATATAGGTTAAGACACATTGATCACTGACTGGAGATAAGAAGGAGGATTTAACTGCTCTGTGCTGAGGAGAAACCACCTTCTCTTTAGCTCTCCGCAGGTCAATGCTGTTCTTGTGATGGGAGATAAGAGTGGGGATTTAAAAGCATCTAAGCTTCAAACACCACGTTGTTTAATTTCAAGTGGCATTTGAAGAACAGGATGTTGAAACTTTGAAGCCACAGAGAGAACCAGCTGGATCGCTTGCATGCTGACATGCACAGAATTCAGCTGTGCTTTAAAAAATATCTACACTGGTGGGAAAACATGACAACACCATGCCCTCCTGGTCAGGCTCACTCAACCCACAGCTTCTTCCCCCGAAGAACTTTCCCAACTGGAATTCCATTGTATTCACAAAGGTTTTCACGGCCGGGATCTAATGGTTGTTGTGGGTTTTTCGGGCTCTTTGGCCGTGTTCTGAAGGCTGTTCTTGCTAACGTTTCGCCAGTCTCTATGGCCGGCATCTTCAGAGGACAGCACTCTGTGCTCTCACCTACTGTATTGTCCTCTGAAGATGCCAATGGCCACAGAGACTGGCAAAACGTTAGGAAGAACAACCTTCAGAACACGGCCAAAGAGCCCGAAAAACCCACAACGACCATGGAATTCCATTCTCTAACTCCCTCCAGGGATTTCCCCTCCAGGACAAACCAAGGACAAACCAAGTCCGGTGTTTTCTCTCCTCCCTCGTGGCTTCCAAAATCTGAGTAAAACAGACTTTACAAAAAGAACTATCTCGGCACAAAACTACCCTCTGTGAAGCAAAAGGGGGGAAAAAACAGGAAAGCTTGATCAAGCAGAAAGACACAAACGTCCAATATTACAACTTTGGTTAATCCATGTAACAAAGTAACAGGTATACCAAATTTTGCACACGATGGGCCAAACCTCTCTTTTCTTGTACGTAGATTGTGGGGGGGCACCGACTCATTCGCCGAGTAAGATTTACATCACTGTTTTCCAGGAGCGGGGACTGGTGACTGGACTTGGTTTCATAAAAAACAAAACTGTCGGACTTGACTCAAAACCGTTTTTTCAAGTCACGTTTTTGAGCACAAACATCTCCTGGAGAAGGTGTGGCTGCTTCTGAGGCGGTGATTTCCCTTGGGGACCAGTCAGTGCCGTATTCAGAACAGGCATGGTGGTGAGAGACGGCCTCGCCACTTGTCCAGAAGTCCCAAGAGTGAGCAGCAAGGCCTGCCTGGCCAGCGTCAGTGACATTGCACCCTCCCTCCCTCTCCTGGCAATGAATAACAATATCTGTGGGGGAGGTGGGGGAGGGGACATAGAGGGACACACAGAAGGCACTGCCACAGATGCCCTCCCTGCTCCAGAGCTCCTCTGGATGCCTGCGCACTATAGCAGCTGCGGAGGGACACATGAAACCAAGATGGCGGCTGCTGTTGCCAGCACCGCCACCAGCGACAGTTCCTGCCTGGCCAGGGCGAGGAGCAGCGACCACCATTAAGGCAGACTTGGCCGGTAAAGTAAGCGTCGCTGCCGCTGAGACAGCCAAGGAGAAAGGAAGGGCAGGAAACTCCCAGGACCACAACTCCCAGAATCCCCCAGGCAGGGTCTTGGGTCTCAGACCCCCCCAAGACACGCCCACATCCCTGCTATCATCCACCTCGGCTCCTTTTCTCCTGACATTTTGGAATCCAGCTCCCGGACCCCACAGGCCAAGGGTGAAGGCGCCATGATCTTCTCCAGAACCTCAGGAGAACAACTGTTGGGAAAGATTAAGCTGAGATGCAACAGAAGGAATCGAACGCCTTCAGGGTCAAAACAAACCTCCTTACCTGCGGACAAAGGCCTAGATAACGGGCGCTCTTGTTCTATTTTCTCGCGGTCCAGATTGCTGTCTTCTTGGCCTTGGTAGCCGGAGAACCGATCGTCCAAAGACTGGAGCAAATCCGTGGGCATGTCCTCAGCCCCTTCGGCCCCACCGTACAGTTCTTCCGACAACTCTGGAAGCCCGTTTGGGTCGACCTGGATCGACGTTACCTCCGGAGGGTCGCCGTCCGCCACAATATTTCTTATAAGCTTGTCCTCAAAATCGAGTCCGAGATCGGTGGCCCGATCCAGCCCATCCTCCTCCTGTTTCTCTTGCTTGCACTCGACCGACGCGATGGTGAGCCCGTTCTCATCCACCACCCGGACTTCCACGGGCAGGAGGGCGCTCTGGAGCACGCTGGAGATGCAGTTGGCGTCGTCTTCCTGCGGTTCTTCTTCCTTGATTTTGGGAGTCAGCGCCGGCCGCTGGTGGGCTCCTTGCTTAGAGGAAGCCAGTCCATGATTCTGGGCCGCCACGCTCCCGCCAGGCTGGGAAAGGAGCTCGTGGGAGGGAGTAGGGGACCCTGCGCCAGCCTGAGAGCGCATGAACGTCTCCTGGAGAAGGCGCGGCTGCTTCTGAGGGGGTGGCTTTCCTTGGGGACCGGTCAGTGCCGTCTTCAGAACAGGGGTGGTGGTGAGAGACGGCCTCGCCGCTTGTCCAGACGTCCCAAGAGTGAGCGGCGAGGCCTGCCTGGCCAGCGTCAGTGACGTCTGTCTCTGCCACTGACCCTTTTCCGGGCCGCTACTGCCTCCTGCAGACCTGGGGGTGGCATCTCTTTTCTCCAGGATCATGGCTAGTTTATTATAGTAGGGCATGGCACTCAGGTCGACCCCGGAGCCCTTACTCTGGATGGTGACTTCCTTATATTTCTTCTTCAAGGCGTTCATCTTCTCGCGACACTGGCGGGCCGACCGGTTGTAACCCCGCAGGCCCATTTCCGTGGAGAGCCAGTTAAAGACCGCCTCATTGTGGTACATATTCCGAAGTTCATTTTGCACCTCTGGGCTGATCCAGAGGTCAACAAACAACCCGATCTCTTCTTTGCTCCAAAATTTGGCCCTCTGCCTCTGGGATTCCTGGGTGTCCTTTGCCGTGGCGGTGGGAGCCTGGGAGATGGGGGACGTGCCTGCCAAGGAGAGGCTAATGAGCACAGGATACGTCCCAGAGCTTGGAAGCAACAAACAACCAGTTTCTGTTTTCCCAACCACAAAACTACGACTAGACCACTGCACCTTAGGCAAGAGATATTTTATCTTCCTTTGCCATGTTTATGCTGACTGCCTACAGTTGCTTTTGTAATTATAAAAATTTATAAAAATTGTTAAGTCTGATCCCACTAATTATTGAAGGAGGTTCACATGGTTGACGTACCACCTCTTGCATTCTGTTGTATTTGCTAATGTGACAATAGGATGCAGACCAAAATAAAAAGAAAAAATGTGCATGTTCTAAGGCTTTTAAAAAAGACAACAAAATACAGTGGTGCCCCACATAACGAGCGATTCGTTTAACGACGAATCCGCATAGCGATGTGTTTTTTGCAATCGCAAAAGCGATTGCATTGCAATGTTTCTAATAGTAAAACATCGCTTTGCGATGATCGGTAAGCGTTTCGCTTACTGATTTTTGCATAGCAATGGTTTTGTTAACAGCTGATCGGCAGTTCCAAAATGGCCGCCGGGTAAAGAAAATGGCCACCCGCTGTGTTTTCGCGCCCTTTCCTCGCTTACCGGGCAGCGAAAATGGCGGCCGCATGGAGGATTTCCACATAACGGCGAGTTTTTTGCCCATAGGAACACATTAAACGTGTTCTAATGCGTTCCTATGGGCTTTTTTGTCCCACATAGCGACGAATCCACATAGCGACATTTTTTTCGGAACGGATTATCATCGCTATGCGGGGCACCACTGTAATAATAATAACTGTGTCCTGTCAAGTCAATACTGACTTATGATGACCCTTTTGCAGGTTTTCTAAATAGAAAATACTGAAAACTGATTTACTCTTTCTTCTGGGGGTGGCCCCTGGGATTGTACAGCTAAAAGAAAAACTGTTTTTCAAAAATAGTAACTAAAATAAGTAAATTATTTAATTACTTTTAGTTACTTTGTTTTTATCTCCAAATAAAATTACAGCTAAAAGAAAAACTGTTTTTCAAAAGTAGTAACTAAAATAAGTAAATTATTTAACTACTTTTAGTTACTTTATTTTTATCTCCAAATAAAATATTACACACACACACACACATATCTACAGTTGTATTTTTTCCTCTCCAAATAAAATACATATCTAGCATTTCTTCCACTGAGACACTCAAGGTGATATCCTGGAGCTCCCAGATGGTTCTGAAACATGCGGGGTCAACACAGAGAAGTCCCTTTCTGCTGTTGCCACCCGTCTCACTTCAGAGGATGATAGGACCCAGCACAGGGTGTCTAAACAGGATCCAAACACCTAGGAAGGTCCATTCATGACAAGGAAAAATAGATACCTCCAAGGATCATGCTTTACAAATACAGTGGTGCCTCGCAAGATGAATATAATTTGTTCCGCAAGAAGTGCTGTCTTCCAAAAAACGATTTCCCATAGGAATGCATTGCAATGCATTCCTACGGGAACCCCGCAAGACGAATTAAATTTTTTCGCCTTGCGAGGCATCGGTCTCACAAAAAAAGTCTTGCGGAGCACGGCCATAGAAGAAGCCGTCTTGTGAGGCACCATTGTGATAGCAAAAAACATTCATCTTGTGGGTTTTTCGTCCCGCGAGGCATTCGTCTTGCGAGGCATCACTGTACAGTACTCCTTCCAGGGATATGCATACATCCACCACTGGGATTTGGCAAAACAGCTACAGCTCACAATGTCAGGGCTGCTCGTCTAAAGAACGGGAAGCACGCAAAGGTGGTGGTGGTGGTGGAGAATGGGACATGGATACCCTTGGCCCTGTACAATGACTTCCTCTCACATCACCAGAGTGACACCAGAAGCTCTGCCCATGATGGGAGGAGTCAATGCTGAAGCTCCTCCCCCAGGGAGCAGTGTTCCGCCTCTCACAAAGGAGGAGGGTGTGGGAGGGGCCAAAGCAAAGGTTCCGCTTAGAACGCCCAAGGTTCTCCGCTAGAAGCTTGGAAACATGACCTCTGCCCGCTGTAACCACAGAATCATGGCTAGTAGATTCTGGGAGTTGTAGTCCAAAAGGGAGGGGGAATACCAAGGCCCTGCCCTGGGATGGAGCAATGCCACAGGGGTTTCCATGCCAAGAAAGAGCCGCCCCCAGTGAGAGAAGAGAGTGGGTCCTCACCCAGCGACATCACATTCTGGTAGTTCTCCTGCATGACCTCCTTGTAGAGGGCTCGTTGCGTCCAGGTTAGGAGAGCCCACTCTGCTTCTGTGAAATAGATGACCACATCCTCAAACGTCACAGGGCCCTGGAGGGGGAAGGGGGAAAAGAAAGAATAACTCAGACCACAGGATCACAGGGCCAGGATGGCCAGAGAATGGCTGCAGCTCATCGGCCAACGTCTTCTTCTACAGCAGCGATGGAGAGCTTATGGCCCTCCTGGTCTGTTCGGACTCCAATTCCCATCAGCCCCCAGCGCCAGCTCTGCTGGCTAAGGCTGATGGAAATTGCAGTCCAACAACGATCAGAAGGCCTTCTGGCGACCACAGACCCCTGCCATCATCACCTCACTTTGCCCCTTGGTAGGGCCTGCCCTACAGGTTTGTGGTTGGTTGGTGCATGTGTGTGTGTACACATTATGTGCTTGCTCTTGTGCACTCTTGCACACACACTCTTTCACCCACATACACACACAGCGGTCTCAGAACTTTTGTGGGCTGATTTCCAAGCCTGCCCTCCATCTCACTCTTCCAGGCACTTTTACTGATTTATTTATTTGCTGATTGTTTGCTTTATTTACAGGCCGCCTTCCTCCTGGTAAGGAGAATCTGAGGTGGCTCACAATATTACAAAGAACAGAATTAAAAACATAAGAAGTTAAACACTGAAAAACAATGAAAACTACACGCTACTTAAAAAAATCCAACTGAAAATTAAAAGCAAGTAAACATTAAAAGCCATCTTAACTTTTGAAAAGGCATTCAGGGACGCGAGCATGAATGTTAAAAGCCTGCCTGAAAAGACGGATCTTCAAGCTGTCGGAGGAAGGATAAAAAGGGAGACGGGGGCAGCCTTATTTTCCCCCACCTCCCCAATCCATACAAAATCCAGCTGCAGGTTCTAAAAAAGCAAAACGCTTCCTTACCAGATTAATTTTCTGTTCGATTTCTCCACCAATGAACAGGGAGGTCATTCCGCAGCCTGCTAGAGAGGAGAGAGAGACAAACTTCAGAGATGTTTTGGGTGAAGCTTTCAAACCGTCCACACCCACATTCCCCTGATGCATGAGCCCATTTAGATAAATGTAACACAGGAGAAAAGGGTTGACAGGTTTGGGCTAAACCTGATAGAATTGTTAAACCCAGTTTTGTAACATGACAATAACTATTGTCAGGATCAGTATTGTAAAGTGAAGCAAAGGTTGAATATATACAGCTGAGGTAATGGTTACAGCTGTGAATGCAATCATAGGATTGGACAATACTGGGATAAAACTAGCAGCACAAGCACGCACAATCTGTGGGTTGTTGGTGGTGATGCTGGTTGGTGTGATCGTGGAAGAAGATTCATCGTGTTCCTGTGCTGGAGAATCTTGGAGGAAGCCGTGTCTACGTGCTTGGTATTGAAGAGAAGCTCTGGCAAGTTGGACGGAACGTATGGTATGCGACTACTGAACTTATTTACTGGACATTGACTCTGATATATGCACTAAACTCTGTGGAAACTGTTGTGCATTACTTTGGAACTGAGAACAAAGACTGAGCTGTAAATATACTTGTATATTCTGTACATAATACAATATCTGCTATCAACACTGCCCTGGTGCTTGGCGTCTTCATCATCTCAGGGAAGATCTTTTGGATATCGCCCCCCTGGTGTAGACCTGTACTACCGCTACTCTGTCAAGGGTTAATGAAAGAAGCCTGTTTATGAGGGATGGTGAGAACTCATCACAAAGTCAAAGGCGCTGTCCTGGCTATAATGCAAACGATAATGTACACATTTCCCCTGACTTCTAATGTCCCTCCCAAACATTTAATCTGTCTCAGAGGGGCCTCCGAAGGCCTTTGCAAGCTATTTGGTGAAGTCATGCAATACGGTGTAGTGGTTAGAGCAGGAGACGCCAGGAGTTCAGAAATGGTTACAGCCAGGAGTTTAGGAAAATCATTTCAACATTTGGAGAGGGCAACGACACAAAAGCAAGTAACCCCCTGAAGAGTGGCCTGGATGCAAAGGGACCCGGGCCGTCTGGGGAATCCCAAGGGGCCCCACGTCCAGCCCCCCCAGGCCTGAAGTTTCTCAACTGACAAAAGGGCATTTCAGTGGAGCAAATCTGTGTCGCTGACGCAGGGCTTGCCTCCGTCTGCTGAGATCATTCTGCCAATGAAAATGGGGTCCCTGAGTTCAGCCTCCCTCTCAAATCCCTCAGAGCCAGACTCTGAAACGCACTTGGCTAAAACGTGCTCTCTGATCCTTCTGGTTGAAGAGCGAGGCTGGAGTTACGAGGGAGAGGACACCTGTGAAGATTTAAGCATCTGCCTTCAAAGCTGCGGCTGATCTCAGCAGTAGAAAGGTGTGTTTTCAAGGCAGTTGGGTATCCAGAAAATACAGTGGTGCCTTGCTAGATGATGATAATCCACTCCACTGAAATAGCTGTTTAGCGAAATCGTCTAGCGAAAAGCATTTCCCCATTGGAATGCATTAAAACCTGTTTAATGCATTCCACGGGGGAAGAATCGTTGTCTAGCGAAGATCAGCCATAAGAAAGCCGCTTTGCGAAACGCCGATCAGCTGTTTAAATCGCTGTCAAGCGAAGCTTAGGTCCCGAAAACACCCATTTTGCAAGCACAGAGGGAGCTGTGAAAATCGTTGTCTAGCGAAAATCAGTGTGCGAAGCAGGGACCAAACATTGTCTAGCGAAATTCCCCCATAGGAATCACTGTTTTGCGAATCGCTATAGCAATCGCAAAAAGTCAATGTCTAGTGAGAAAACTGTCATGCGGGGGTAACTGTATAGCGACGCACCACTGTACATTGTTGGGTTGTCATCTTGAAGAGACCTGGCAAGCTCTTATTTCTCCCTACGTGTAGCCTGCATAATTATAGACCTCCTAGAGAGTGTTTTAAG